ATATCTTTCGTGTTATACATATATAGTTTCTCTGTACACACACATACGCATACACATTTGCTCATACACGTACACCGATATATATACGTACGAACAAGTTTATTTCGTTTGTAAAAATGCGAGCGGATCAACGAATGGTGATTCAGCGAATAATATGAGGCAGGCAGTGCACGAATCGGCTGCCAAAGCCGCTCCGGTTAGTTTGTTATTCAGGGAACGTCTTCGATTGCATGCTGCAAGACAGATCGATTGAATGTCCTCTTCAAAAATTGATTGTACGTTTTATATGATGTGCCGAGGCAATAGAGGTAACTTCGCATAGGGCATAAACTATACTACTCCGACGACGATATATCAGATCCGGGTGAAATGATACGATGAACGTTCAGTCATTATTCCCGAAAGGAGCAGGAGGAAGGAAAAACAGATTGACTTCAAAGAACGCAGTATGCTTTTTGTTTAACTCTCATCAAAATAGAAACGAAAGTCGAAAGAATATTTTTATGCCGTTATGATTAATTCAGGTCAGTTGCGATTCCAAATTTGATACAATAGCGTTTAACTCTTGCTATTTTTCGATATTTTCACAATTGAAATGATAATCTAAATTCCTTTTACAATTTCTCTGGAGGAAAAGACGAAGTTACAGTAATAGTCTTTCCTCATTCTATCGCTGAATTTATCGTAACGTATTATAATTTTAATATATCGAGATTTTCGTAGATGTTTCTACTCTAAAATAAACGTGTATCAGGAACACGTGCGAACGCGGCTATAAAAGATAAGCAATTCTGCGGTGTGTGCGTTTGAAACACGGCGCGGCGGTGTACGTGACTGAATTCTTAAACGGACGAATTGCGAAGTTCGGATAGAGTTGAGATGGGGAATGGGGTCCGTGTTTGTACCGCGCCGTTACGCGATCATCTCACCCACGGATCGAACGGCATCCGGTTCACGTACATGTCCCATCCCTTAAACCATGTACGACACGACACACGCGGGTCACACGTGCAATGTTCCTTGGATCAGGACACTGTCCCCGACACCGTTTTACAGCGTGTTAAGCGCAGTCGAGACCGTGCACGCGTTCGTCCGCTTACAACAATACCCGCTATAAATATCCGCGATAAATTATAACGGATGTTCAATTTTTTATACGTCGTATCGAATATTCGAGCGAAAAAAATATGTAAATTAATGTACGACTTTTGAATTTTAAAATTCTCGTTTCTAGAATCTCTCTTCGGAAGGACTTGGCGCGCGCTCATCGCGCGTTCATCTTTAGAGATCTAATCGCGACGAGGGGACCAGGGCTACCCCGGGTAAATTTAGTACTCGTTAAGTTTCGCCCCTTCGGTATATTGTGTTTGTATTATAGATACACGCGCGCGTCTACACACATACACAAAACCACGTTTAATCACGAAAGAAAGAGACGGAAGAGAAGGAAAGAGGGGGAGAAAGCTTGCAGGAAGGAAGGAAGGAAGGAAGGAAGGGTATGTAGAAGGGAGGAGAAACCCACGGAGGGTGCCCCGATAAGTATTATTGTAATTATACACTTAGGTTTATTTCCTGCGAACGCGCACTCATAGGGGTTGATGGCATTATATACCACGGCACCCTAATAAAAATAATAAGAGCGTTAAACCGCGGAGAAAGAGAAAGAGAGAGAGAGAATGGTATGAGAATAATGTTCACCTTTCTGTGCGGCCAACCGCAAAATCCTCCTAATACATGTTGTACAAGTTGTACAGTCCTTATTTATAGAGAAAAACAAATATATTCTTACCTAATTTCTCGCGAAAAAAATAAACACGATAATCAATTCTTCTTTAAAAGAAATTGACTTTACATTGCTAAAAAAAATCCATGGATGACATTTGCATCGATAATCGGAAATGTCGTGAAAAGTGATTTATATCTTTTCTAATAATATTGTACATGTATATATATATATACTTCTATCGTGAAAATTAAATTAAATTTAATTATCTTCTATGACACACACACATTAAAAAATCTTTCTTACTTAATTAATCACTTTGAGTATTTTTATTAAGACATACATTTCTAGTTCTTAAAAAATCGAGATGCGATCAAGCAATAAGTATTGTATCACGTTTGTGAATAATCTTCATAAAGTAGGGAATGCGATAAAAACCGATGCAGCAGAGAACTTTGAGAGACAAGGCGGAAGTGTCGTTCGTCTATCTAACCATCCATGTTTCTCACTGATATATAGAGAGCAAGAAGACCCTCGTGATGTCCAGAACTCGTGGTTTACGCGTCCGTACACATGTGTAGGTTTATTTATAGATGGAAGGCAAGGTCTCTACATAGATTTACATGTGTCAAAGCTTGGCGTGGCGTAAGAACACATCGCAGATCCTTTTCGAGCTGCATTGCGAGATTTTGTGCGACACCAGGCTTGGCGAATATAGGGAGAACTTGGAAATGAAACTGCGTTTTGCGCGAAGGTGCGCATATTGTCTTGTTTGAAGCGACAAATAATATGTAATGATTTGATCACTTTTGGTTATAATATATTAAAATAAGAAAAATAATTAAAATGCAGATTTATGTGATAATTTGATATCAATTTGAGATTAAAAATATCTTTAGAAATATGTTTAAAAAACTATTGATAACTATCAATAATTTTTAGAATAGATATTTTCAAAAACAGATTTTATTTATATTTATTTTTTTCTTTTAAGAAGAAAGAGGGATTTGTTAGATAAAAATTATTTTATAATTAATTGACGATTTTTAAAATCTCTTTTAGTCTATTTTTAATCTTTTTTAGTCTTATTTAATTTGTGCTAATGATACAGACGAATAAGAAAATGAGAGCTTGGCCAGGTGCGATTGTAAACAGTTATAAAAATATGTTAAAATGGAAATTTGCAAACGTACTCTTTCCAAGAAATAAATTTGAGACTAGCTTCCTTTTATCTTCCTTTAGCTTTTCTGCGAAAATCGCACTTTCGAAAAGTGTCTCGTCCATAGTGGCCCGCCATAATTTTCAATTGCGCAAATTAACATTTTCGTTCTGCGCGTCTCCGTGAAGCACAATAAATAAGGGGGCCAAGTGAGTAGTAAATATAAATCAGGAGTGATTGGATGTAACCGGGGGTGTTATGTGTCCCTAGTGTCCCGTGTGTGGGATCGTCCGCGGGTCTTCTACGACCAAGAGAGATGGAGAGAGAAAGATACACATATCCGGCAAACGTAGGTGAAACGATCGTGAAATGATGAACTATCTTCGTATAGCGATGGATCTAAGCTGTTATCTATTTCATATCTTCTTCGAACAATTTTAATACATACTTAATCAATCATTTACTATAAAAATCTGTAACAAGTCTAGACAAATGTTTTAGTAATGAAAATAATCCATCGATTGAACCAATAATTCTTCGGATATCACCTAATATCATTTTCTACTCTGGATTGAATATTAAGTTATATTATATTTTAGTTAGAATTGATTTAGTTTATCAATTATTAGAAAGATCATTATTCAAAATTTATTAGAAACTAATCTTTATTTTACAAAGGATGAATTTTCTGCAACTTATATTAAAACTAGAAATCTTTACACACACATAAATTGTTTCAATCACTGGTTGATCGTATCGTTTGCTGCGGATGCTGAACAAATTCTAGAAAATAATTTTTATTATAAGTATTGCATATATATATTTTTTAAATTAAATTGATTTCTTTGTTTAAAATCGCTATATGTATAATATGTAATAGACAATCGCGTGTTACTTTAATCTTCGAGCAATCAGATTTATATTTTCGTACAGTTTCACGACGATTGATATCCGCGAATGCATCGACTCCATCGCTACTCTTATCCACCTACTTTACCTTTACTATTACAGACGACGTACTCGCTCGGCGTCGACGTGTCTCGATACTTCGAAGTATTCCGTAAAAGTACGAGCAATGCACTTCAGCAGAGTCGTTTCTCACGCTGCCGCTCCCTATCATTTTAATTTCTTCCCTATTTATATCCGTCACTAAGAATTTAACCCTTTATTATCTAAAATAAACCTTTATTATCCAAGAACTGAGTGCTGCTGGAATTCATAACGAGGCTAATATATTTCGATTTTATTCTAGCGAAATGATTAAATTATTTAGAAAAAAAATTGTATAAAAAATAAGTAGAATTTTACTAGCTTTTTTTTACTTCGAATAAGATTTTCACTCAATTGAGTTTCTTTCTTTATGAAAATGTAATTAAATTATATCTTTTTTGTAACTTTTTAATATTTAGTACAAAATATTGCATGTATTTAAATAACCGTGTCTTGGATTAAAAATTTCTGTTTAAGCAAAATTTAAAAGTATTTTATTATATTTATTTTTGTCTCTACAGCTATATATAATTTGCGAAAATATATTTTTATTTTCAAATGTGTATATAATAGAGGGAAACATCACCCCATTAACATCTCAACACTTTCGCTCGGGGAAAAATATAAACCAAAGTTTGGCGATCTATTTTAAAATAGCCCTGCATATTAACGATCTACTCGTTTATATCTGTCCTTATATCAAGCGAGTCAGTTTGGTTTTTCGGTAGGCCGTCGTATGACACGAATATTCCAGCCGCGCGAATATATCGAGTAATCTCTTTCGAACGCACACGCGCTTCGCTTTTTTTTCCTCCTCGCCCCGTACACAGGTGTGTGCTCGTGGAGAGACACAGGTGTAGGCCGGATATCGATTATGTAATCTTGCGGCCGTGTGCGGGGAGCCGTGGCACGTATACGCCGTAATGCACGGAGAGCGTCCCTTCACCCCCGGATAGAGGTTGGCAGAGGAGAAGGGGGAGAGGGGAACCGGCGAGCCACCCCCGCGCGCATAAAATAGTTCAAGCCCGCCCCGTGAAGCACTTGTGACGTTAATTGTCGCCTTACTACCGCCGCGTCGCGCACGAACAATCCCTTGTCACGACGCTACATACATATGTCGTTTTTCAGATTTTGATGAGAGCGACGACGGTGTGGCGCGATCGTGTGGCTCATTAGCTATCAAGATTTCTTCAGGAAAGTCGCCGATATGGGTGAGTATCATATGCGATTTGTAAAAAGATATTAAACTCTTCGTCTTCTCGACTAGTTCATGTTCATGAAACACGCGTCAAATGAGATGTGGAATATTTCATAAATGCTCGCTTTCAATACTTTCATGTTGATATTTTTTCTAAAGGAAAGTATGGAGGAAAACTGTATGTGTAAAAAGTTAAATTTTATCGAAAAGGAACAATATGATATTATAAATTGCACTGATATTAGAATCTTGAAGATATCAAGTTAATGCGTTGATTAAAGATATAAATTTGGAGATTCAAAGACATACATATACATAATTTGAAATTAAATTCTCGAAGTTGACATTTCTTAGTATTAATAAAAGATGCATCACATAAGATTAAAATTGAAAATTAAGTCACTACTATCCGACAATCTTGCCATGCGTAGATATGCTGTTCTCCGGTAGGAAAAGAGCTTTTACTTTCAACGGTTAATGAGTAATGAGTAATGACACGCGCGCCGAATATAGAGGACTAATCGATAATCGCTACTAGCCGTGGCTCTTTGCGCGATATTTATCGCTCGTTTTTACCGTACAATTTTTAGGAGAAATTGGTTACAGTTGTTGGTTTGATTATGCAAAGCACATATCTCTTTAACATTTTTACTTAAAATAAAATATAAAACTCTTTCTCTATATAAATAATTAAGAAAGTATAATAGTTAGAGTTATAGTTAAATAATAACACATAAGAAATAATGCATGTATTTTAATTATTTTATTTTCTTCGTAAAAAATATTAAATATATTATAAGATTAAATACTATATTAGTCCCAATAGTTTTAATAATTTAAAATATTCAACTTTTTGGATATTTTAATACATATTATTTTTTTATGCGAATGTAGAAAACATTGGTTTGTAGAAAATTATTCTTCTACAACTTTTATATTCTTGATTAGTGTTATATTACCAATTGTTAAGCATCTAATTATTACCATAAATTATTATAATATCGAGATTGATAAATAATAAACAAAGTTATGACACCAATGTATCTATTTATTCGACAGTTTTTTTCTAGATAGATAACAATATCGATTGATAATATTAATAATGACATAACGTCGCTATTATTAATTTTGAATATTTTAGATATTAATATTTCCTATATTTTTTAAATAATATTATATTTTAATTAATATAGTAGAATATTATTTTAAATAATAACATTATGCACATGTATAATATTATATAATTGTTCGTGAAAGAAAGGAAAAAGAGAAGAAATAAAAAATATAGCAATAATAGGTTAGGTGGAGAAAGAATCTTGCATTTTTTAATTTATTGTTAATATCAATTAAATGAGGTTTTAGTTTTCTTCTCTGATAAAATAATTTTATTTAATTTTAATTTTATATTATCTTAAACTATAGTTAACTAGTTCATTTCAATTTCATCAAGTTAGCTCAACTTGTATTGCTCTTTAAAGTTAGTACGAACATGTTACATCTGATCAGCGTGAAATTTTATCGATAGAATCTAAATTAAAAAACTAAAAGAGCTTAATATATATTGAAATGAGACATTACAGTTGAATGCAAGAGACGATAAATATAAACAATCAATCATACAGCGAAGTCTTCAAAAATAGCTTCTGCAGGGAGGAATAAAATGTGAAATAAAATAAAATCTTCTCGATCATTTTGTTATCTTTTTACATACACGCGTACACACACATACGCACGCACGTACACATACATACAATGTTAAGAAAAATTGGGTCGTTACACAAAACGAACATCGCTCATTTGCCATCCGCGACATGGTTGGATAATGAATAATTCGTATGCAGCATCCGAATGTTTGATATCAAAGCATTCGACTGCACTGCGGCAAGAGACGAAAATTAAAAGATTAATGATGTGTAAAAAAAAACGAGTCGCTGCGTTTTATTAAGCCGCGTTAATATGCCACCCGGCTATAAAAAGGTCGTCGAAACCAGAAAACGTGCAAAGTAAACGTCCAACGAAGCATGAATAATTACCATCAAGCCGATGAATACGTAATGCGGTCCTGTATTAATTATCATAGATAATTAACACCGTAGGTGAAAGCCACGCCTGATGCTCATAGACAATTAATAGCGATAGACAATTAACGACCGACCTTCATCGATACGTTCTTTTGACCACGAGTGCTCGCGCTTGCGCGACATCGAAATATATGCCCCCGAATAAGTACACCCGAATATGATCAGTAATCACCCATCGATCGACAATACTGTCTCGTTGAACACGCGAATCGCTTCTGCATAGGCTAAGGATATTTGCAGACAAATATCGCGATTTCCTTCCTTTAAATTTTATAATATATCAATCGTTTATATAGAGCATCTTATTACGTTGAGTTGCATGAAGTTTTGCAACTTCATATTTCCTTCCGAAATCCATTGTTTTGCATCGATGTTCAAGTAGGATGTTAATATAATTGTGAAGTGATACGTTTGCATTTTTTCTAAACACACATATTCTAATTTTTCATCGGTTCTAAATGAAAATGAGCGTTGTGACGAGAATTATATAAGAATACTCCGTAAAATATATTTTATATATATTTTTGAAATCGATAAATTAAGTAACCGGCGATTTTCTAATGCATGTTATTTAAAAACGCAGATTATTATTAATAGCATCGGCATTTTCCTCTTTCGTCGTTCGGCTAAATGTAGCGATGAAGAAACGCGCCCTAAAAATGTTCCATCTGTGGGTGTTTCCGGCTTGGAATTACATTTGGCATTAATCGTATGTAGAATCTGTAGAATCGTATGTAGAATCCGGAGAAAAAAAGGCGATAAAGCATTAGAATGAGAGCGGGAAGGGAGGGCGAGGGAAGGAGGAGGAGGAGGAAGAGGAAGGGAAAAGGACACGGGATGACACGGTATAAAAGTACGTCTCTCGCGCGCGCGTTATCGGGAGAGAACTAAAGAGAAAAATCAAAGGAGAAGAGAGGGGCCGATTACATCGGATTCGCGTTACCGGGCGTAACAGTACGGCTGTAATCTCATCTAGGCACTCAGCTCGTAGCGACGGTTTTTATCCTATTACGTCACATGAATAAACTAAAGACTGCGGAGCCCGCGCGCGCGATGTGTAGCCCGGGGAGAACGCATCGCGCCGTCGGGGTGGGACTCGCTTCGGATCGTTCGATATGGTTTGGTTTCCGACCTCACGATAGTCGGAATAGTCTGCCGAGGGATCGGAAAAGCGAAGGACAAGACAAGTGAGAGAGGGAGACGAGACGCAGGAACATACAGAGAAGAACGCTGGCTCAACCGTGATTGATTCCGTTTAGATACCTGCTACTTTTATGAGCTTTATGATTACCGTAAAATGCGACGAGTAGAATCGAACGAGATTACTATAAATCCTTATGTGTTTCGAGTTCTTCTTTCTCTTCTTCATTTAATTATCGTCGTGAGAAAATAGCCAACACTAGTTCATCGCGTAATTGAACCCATATTAATTTTCTATGCATCTACCAATTTTTTAAGTTCAAATTATGTGAAATTTGTATGTCAAGTTTTATAGAAAGATTATTAGGATTTTAATTCTTGCGAATAATAATTTCAAGACTGATTAAAATTCAACTGTCAAAATTCTTGCATCTTGCAACGTTGAAGATTTGAAAATTGCGATATTTGTATAAAACCGTGCATGCATAGAAAGAGCTGATAAGCGTTAATAAAGTTTGCAACGCACAAGTAACAGGTCACTAAGACTTTGCAATCAAAGAGACAACGAATAAAATCGAGATAAATCTGATTCTAAGTTGGAATAAATCTCGTAAAGTATTTACTTCTAGCTTCATTTTTATATAAGCTTTGCTTCTTCTACGATTGTGCGGATTATTAAAAACGTGACGAATGGCTTTCACGTTTCTATCCTGTTAAATTCATGAAGACTAACAGCGTAAGGTAAAGTTGGCCGCGTATTCACAACTGAGTGAGTAAAGTCGTTGTGGGGTTGTAAGGCATTAAAATAATCGATATTCGCTTCAGATCTTAGACTTTACCTGATTTAATCGGCATTATTATAATATCAATTTTTTCACATCTTTCAGATATATATAATATGTTCTTATAGAGAAAGATTAAGAGAAAGAGAGAGAGAAACTTTTTCTCGCACTAGTATGTTCAATCCGCACTTTTTAACTTGTTAGATTTCGGAGCAACACAACTGTCACATACATTACATATATTATATATTCGCATTAATATATTCGCTTAACGATGTTTTGTTTGACCTTAATAGAAAAACGGCTCGATACGATAGCGATAACAATATTCTAAATGTGGCGTTTCGCTGAACGGTGGAATATGATTTAAATGAAACCTTGAGACGTTTAATTTTAAACTGCATTGCGAATCGAAAGTTATTTTTATTGAGCTCTTCACGCCGGACAAATTCTATCGCCATGGATATTTCCTCGACCAATTTCACTTTTGCATCGACCGTTTCTGCGACAGCTCGATAATGCAATTTACTGCGATCAGATCGCCACGATTGATTGTCATGCTCACAATTGTATTTGGCATAAATAATAGTTTAAATTCAATTATGACATTTAATTCTTCGATTAGTCAAATTCGAGACAAACTCATTAGAAAAGAATTGACATAATTTTCTGATGAGTTCATCTGTATCAGAATCAAAATTACATGGATAAATGTTCGTTTTATAAGTTGAAAAACTATTCGCATATGTAATATCATTAGTTTTCTTTTTAATTTAATTTTACCTTAATTTATTATAATTAACCATGATATATTGAACCAATTATCATTATATTACATTATCTCCATAAATATATATTTATATTTATAAAAATGTATTAATTTTTAAAAATTTTCTAAATCACTTATCAATACAAACATCATTATTATTTTTTTAGCAGTATGAATATCTTAAAACATATACTTTATTTTTTAAGCCTTTTGGTGAAAAAATCGTATTAAAAAAATTGTATTAATTCAATCAAAATATTTATTTATATATATGATTTTTTAATTAAATTTTCATTTTCAATTCAACGATTTTTAAATAATCAAATGCTGAATTATCATTTTTAGGCGGACATATGTTAATATTTTATGATAAAAATAAAATATATATTTAATAAAAACATTATTCTCTTTAATAGTCTAATTTCCCTGTAATAGTCATATTTCACAATAAGAGTATGTAAAATGTTATATTTTTGTCAGTCAATAATACAGATGATTTTCGTTCAAAATGGTTGAATAAATTGCTTGGATTGATCTCTTTTATATTTTGTATTGAAATAGGAACTTTTATTGTGGCTATTTTTATGATTTTGTATTATACATCATTGCATTTGTTTTAACAACATCAATGATATGATGATGAAGCTACAGCAAATTATTAAAGAAAGTAATAGCAACCTTGAAATGGGCATAATCATTTTCTCTTATTTCTACAAATCTATATTTACGAAGATGTATAAAAATTGTCTACTGTTGAATGTTTACGGTAACAATACTATTAATATATTGAGAATGAAATACAGTTATAATTTATATGTACTTTTACATATTTTACAATAAACATTAATATTATATGATAGGATTTTTTTAACAAATGTTTTAAGACACGATATGTAATTTTTAACGAATTTATTTCATCGCTTCTAAATTTAAAATATGTATAAAATGAATAAAAGTGATATATCTTTAGGAACATTTATTTTTCGTCAACTAAATGCAATGTAACAATTCTGAAAAAAACGATTCCGGACTTCTCGAAAAAAGTGATGATTTATAAATATAAACGTAACTTGGAAGAAATATTGATCTTTTCATAAATAAAGAAACATGGGTTCATACATGTATTCTTGATATTTCTCACATACTCGCACACAGTTATATTTATAGATATATTCGCTTTAAAATTGGGTGTCTACATGTCGCCTGTAAGTACGAGAAATATGAGCATGCCGACGCGGTCAAGTGTCGGGCAATGAAAACGAATGAAGAGAAACTTCAACGACATCCCTTGCCACCTTACGTCGCTCCTTAAAAAGTTCCACGGTGTCGTATTCTTGCGTTTATCCAACCCGCCGTTTCAATCGTATTTTAAACGATCGCAAAGATACAAAATTGTCCATTTCCCATGCAATAATGCACGCAATATTGCATAAGGCAAATAATAATAACGAGTAAATAGAAATGTATCGCGTAGATAATATCTTGAGCGAATTAAAATTAAAACGTACATTACTATATTCTAAAACAATGTCAAATACAGAAGGATTTTCCGATTTGATAATACAACATTAATTAAAATATATGATAATACAAAATTAATTAAAATTCATTATAACTTTTTATTATATTAATGAATAATTTCCTTTGAAATTTTCCTTTAAATTTTTTATAAAGAGATTTAAATATGTCTTTTTTTATTTTATTTTATTTTATTTTATATTATTGATCTTTAGTATAATATATTTTTTAAAATATAGCTTTAAAAAAATATAAATTGAACCACATCTTTTCAATTAAAATATTAAGATTAAATATTATTATACGCTTGTAGAATAATTTAATAGTAACAGACTTCTTATTGTTCATTCAAGAACTTAAAGTTATCAAATAAATTATTATGTCTACCAATAAGATTAAGCTAGAATCTTTTTGCTAACAAATTTTGTTGCAATATCGTCAAAATTAATTTTGGAGCAACTAGCATTTGGAGCATTTTTTCTCAAATAAAATTTTGATCTGATTAATCGTTTTGTTTTTAAAAATAAAAGATGTAATTCATAAATTAAATCAGCTAACAATAAGTTTCATAATTTGTTTCTATCTTGAAATATTAAACATTAGATATTAAAATGAGCATAAAAGATATTATGCAATTATTGAGCCATTTAAAATTGAAAGCTTAAAGAAAAATATTCAATATATAAAACTAAATAAATAAATAAATAAATTTATTTATTTATTTTTATATTGTTTATTATTTTACTTATTACTTATATTATTCAGAGTTCTACAATACGATAATTATATTATATTACTACACATTTCGATGTTCTGGAATATTTTATTTCAACATCAGTTAAATAATCTATGCAAAATTCAACCGTTCAAAAAATAAATTAAAAATTTATACTTAACGAGATGCATTTATTTATTTGTTATGTCTACGAAGAATTTTACGATTTATATAATGAGAAAAAAATCATATTCTAGCATTGGGCACCTGTTATAATTCACTCATTATCGCGATTTTAAGTCGCGCGAGCTCTCGCAATCTGAGATAGATTGCGAAAAGTGTGTCGCAAAATATTTTTACGACCGCTCTATATCGAGCGGGCTATCGAGGCGGTGCGATTCGACGAAATTGTAGGAAACCGGTAATTTTTCACTCACCGTAGGGTTCGGCATACATCGTCTCGGTGGCGGCGGCATCGGATCCGGCGCGGCGCGATAAGGTGGCGGCGAGTATCTCCCCGAGGGAAAGCATCCCGGGGCGGTGATGGGTGCCCCGTGGAGTCCCTTGCTTCCCATCATCTTGTCCGGCGAGTACATCATCTTGCGTGCCGCCTTAGCCTACCCTAGGCCTCTTCCGCGTTTTCCGGCCTCCTCCTGGCTTCCGGAATCGGGCGGCACTCTCAGACGAGACGTAGGTGATACCGGCAGCGACGGCTGCGCCTCTCGGTTCCAAGATGCATTCGCATCTGTGTTACCTTGATGTCGAAGTAATTCAAAGTACGTTCACGTTCACCGAGCCGAGCGGAGCCGACACCACGTCCAGTATTGCACAAGAGGATCCAGGCACTCACCTAGTCGAGATCTATCAGTATATAAGCGTGGATGCGACGGACCCCAGAGACCCGCGGTCCCGCATCTCGATCGTCAGTTTGAGCGTCGCTTCCACGCGTAATCACAGTCAACAAAAATCGCGCGCACCCCGTCGTGTCGACGATAACCGATAATCACGATCTCTCCGAGCACTTTTTTTTCTCTCTTCTTTCTGCAAAAAAATTGTAAAATCGATCCCACGCTCTACTTCGGATTCACTTCACTTCGGGTTTCACCAGGGTGTCCCGTTAAGGATGGAGGCTCGAGAAAACGAAACGATCCACCGAGCGACGAAGTCACCAGATTCTTCGTGTCCCGCGAAGCACTCGGGAATTAACTCGGTGCGACACTGGCTTTCGAAGGGAAAAAGGGAAGAGAGAGAGAGAGAGGTATACCGGCTCACACTGTCATACACAGGGGGGTTGAAGTACGCGCGGGGGTACAGTACGCGGACTCTTGTCCCGAAGCTCTGCACTTTTTGGCGCTGACTGGCCGGCGAGGAGCGCCTCGCGGATGAACTCTTCCAGGGGGATGGCAGGAGTGCTGCTGTCCGTCCGGGGGTGCAGGTGGGGGATGCAGCGGGGAGGATCGGCGGTCCTGACGCGATGCGGCGCAGCGTGGCGCTTGCCCACACGACGGGACGGTTCGCTCCTCGTTTTCGCGAGGGGGTGAATTCGTCGCGGCGGGGGTGAGTTAGCCAGCGGAACGGAGAGTCCCGGTGAACGGGGGCGGAGCCACGCGGTTACGCTTGCGCCCCTAATCTCATGCACGTCGGCCATCTTTGCCGTTGCTTTCAGGGGTTGCTCGCATGGGTGTCGCTAACCGCGACCACCCGTTTGTCCATCCTTCCCCGTGTGCGTATGCTCGTGTCGGCGTGTGCATGTGTGTGTGTGTGCGTGTACATCTCGACATCCCTTCACCCTTCCACGTCTACGTTTTGCCCGCCGCCGCCACTCGCGCTCGATCCTCTTTACACCCTCTCTCTATATTTCTAGTTGAGCCAGGTCTATCCTTCTCCCTCCCTCCCTCTCTCTATCTTTTACATCTTGCCTGTCTTCCCGCCCGTACATCTCTGTAACCTCTTCCGGCGCGTCTTTCTCCTCCATGGCGAATATCAGCTCTATTTTACTCGTGCTCTCGGTCATACGCAAACGTCATAAGTCGCGTTATCGTTATATCTCGACGATGTATAAATATCTGCGCGTGCCTATTGTAATCTTTATCGTCGGGATAATAAATCCCTTCTTTCTCTTTCTTTTTTTCTCTTCGTTGCATTTCCTTCGCATTTACTACGTACGTATTACTACGAATATTTTAGAGTAGGTGCGTTTTTTTTTATCTCATCTCGCTTGATCTACTTCTCCACCGCTTGCTGCACATCTTTCCACATCGGAAAATTGTCATTCAGAGCGAAATTCATCTCCGCGTAGGTCTCTCCGTCGCGCGTGTCGGTGGAAAAACGGATGACGCTCCTTTTTTCCATCTCATGCATGATGCATTGCACTTTCGTTGACCCAAGCAAAACACGCTGTCATAATGATCTTGCCATTGATTTATTAATAAAATAAAAATTTCTCTCTTGTCTTTCTCCCGATTCTTCCGAACTTTATACTATTCTTTCTTTTCTTCCGATAAACTTTATACAAGACGCACTTAAATCTGACGTTATTGTCACTCCAAAATGGACAATAGGCGAACTTATTTCGTTCCAATCATAAAAATCGCGTAATATAAAGTCTAGTCTAAGTTCTCATGGCGAAATTTTGACGGATGAAACAACTGAAAGCCATTAAGCCGTGTTGTTATAACATTTACATTGTTAAAAAATAAAAAAATTGATCGAAATTCTTTATAGACGTAGCGCGCGCAGGCACATATTCATTTCCTACGTTAAATGTTCACGAGGGCGTGCCGATTGCAGAAATTGCACATCGCGAAATTTATTTTACATGTTCATCACGAGAGAGAAACTTTGAAATATAACTAAAAAATTCATTAATCCGTATTAATATAATATATTTATATATTGTTTTATCAAATTAATTAAAATATTCTTAATATGCCAATGGCAAGGGCAGTGACACATGTCCAATTCTCACGTTAAACGCTTATCTGTCCGCGTAATTCCACATAATATAACATCGGATGCAATTTTCATTTGAAATATATAAATTTTAAAACTCAGGCAGAGAGTTATGCGCACATACGTTTATAACGCCGATTACCGGGCTGTAAATATGGATTAATGTTTTTTGAACTTTATTTGAATTAAATTTATTCATCTCATTTTATAATTTATTTTATAAGTATAGAATTCGTTTTAGCAAATGTGAAAATTATGGGCGCTTGATAAATTTTTATCTAATATTAAAAATATATAATATAAATAAAAGATTGCCGTTGAAACTTTTAATTTTATGCTACATTCGCATGATGATAAAGTGGGACTAAAGAAAATACGCGCGACGACGTATAAGGTATGAATTATGTTAAAAATAGGTATCTCTTCTCATATGCAATTGGCATTATAATTATATACTTCGTTCAATTCGTTCCGTCCCTTGAAATATTCAAGTCACGCAAAAGCATTACGCTATCATTAAAACAGCCTCGAAGCACATGTTGTAGTCAAAACTGTAATTAAAGAGACAAAAGGGTAAAGTAAGTAAAAACGCGTCATTTGTTTTGTGTTATATTTCAATATTTTTAATCTTGTTTCTCAACAATTAAACATATTTATTTTTCAATTAATAAAAGATAATGAAACCAACAATTGTGTACGACTTATAGGTACAATTTCTACTGTATCTAGAAAAAAGATACACAATCTAAATAAAAAGTAAATGGCGCTTAATTAATTGCATATTTCACGATGACATTAATTGAGTTATTAAATCGCTAGACAAAATTTCTAAACATTTGTCTCGGTATTAACGCAACTATTTTAACGACCACGTACACGGAAATTTGAGCAAGCAAATCTTCGCAGTAAGTGCAGACTTGTGTGAGCTGTTTTATAGTAAATTTTTAACGTACCGTGGACCCTCCGTAACCCAGGACCCCTCTGTTAGTCCCGCAAGGCTTCGGGATTTCGGTCGATCGAATAAACGAATAAAGCTGTTTCCTATATATGATTCTCCGAGATGCCAATGAAATTGACCCGTACACAAAGATTGACCCTTTTCTTGCGTATACATAATATATTAATCTCGCAGTTTATATATATATATATATATACATATATTTATGTACATATGTAAAATCTCTCTCCGATTATTGAAAGTCGTAACGCACTTTTTTACCATCTTTTTATTAACACCTTGATCGCAATTTCGATCAATTTAAACTGCGGTAAACACTTTTATTCCATCGATAAGTCTTGGGGTATCGATCATTTTACCCTTTGTAGTTCGCGCACAATCGTCCCTTACATTGGCATCGCGAAACGGAAGCGGATGCATGAGAAACACCGGACGAGGAGATAACGCTTCGAGAAACGAGCTCCGGTGTAGGAAAAAAAAGGAGGAAAAAAAAAGAAGAAAAATAGGAAGGATAGAACGGGGTCGGTAAGAGATGGAACGGACCGTTGGAACACGGTGGATGCGGATGAGAGAATCGCGGATAGACGGGGGAGGAGGGACCGGGGGTGTAGGGCGGAGGGACACACTGCGAGTTTGGCGGCAGTCGTTTTCCGAGGGATGTTGGGCGGAAGGTTCCCGCGGGGCCTGTGTTATCGCCTCGGCAGGATGACCAGCCCGCGTTATCAAATATTAAACCTACTTGCACCGGCAGCCTATCCTCGACAAGATATCCAAACCTTCCCTGCCCGTTCCTCCCCCCGCGCGACCAACCGACCCCTGCTCTAACCGACCTACCTACCTACCCACGTATACCGCATCGCCGTACACACCGGCTACCATCAAAACCTACGCCTAGCCCACTACATCTCTATCTCTCCGCTTGCCGCCCGCGCTTACATTGTTTGTTCGTATAACGTCGGGATATTCGTGGCCGGGTCGGCGCGGCGCACAATTCGCCACCGCGCGCGGCCATTTCGTACTCGAGATAGCTCGGGAAAAATTGTTTTCTGACGATATTAAGAAGATATCCTCCGCGAGAAGGAGAAAAAGCCGAGAGCTTGCGAAGCTTATCGATACGTTGCCCAAGCACGTGACTAATTCCGGAGTAAAAAAATCGGAGTAACATTGAGATTGTTTGATTCCTGTAAATTCTAATGCCTGCTAAAAATTTATTTATTTATTTATTACAAAAAGAAAGAGTTAATCGAAGCTTGAAAGTGGATGCAAGTGAATAAATCTGTCCAAATTGATGTAAAACTATACATCAATGTTTCGATTTTTTCAAACCATTTTCCTGGATTTTATTATTTGTTAAAAGTATTATATCCTATCATATATTTATTAAAAATATTATCCTATTATTTTTAACAGTCTATAACGCTGCAAGAAATTATAATTTCTATTGCCACATATATGTGCTATTATACATATACATATATAAATTATATATATAATTTATTGCAATTTTAATTTTGTAGATTACTAAAAATGTTGGGAAGATATTTTTAACAAATATATACTAATCCATGCAGGCCATGTTATAAAAGAGTAATTAGGAAAAAATGTTGCTATTCTAATTATGCATAAAAATACAGAAATGGCGCGCTCTATACAACGTCGTGTCCGCTTGATAGTTACAGTTTTGCACAACATCTCGTCATATATTTTTGCCAAGCGTAATAACAGCTTTATTAATATTTCGTACGTGTAATTACGTTTTATACCGAGGGTTAAAGTGGACTTTTTAATAACTACATTTTTATCAGAATGCGACGTATTCTGTTTCATGAATGTATTTTGCTAAACTTAAAAGGTTCACGATTAGATAGATGCAATAATGAGTTTTGTAATAAGTATTTAGAAATTTATTATTTATGTATTGATGTAATAAATCTGACACTTGCAAATGCAAATTATCAAATTATAAAAATGCAACTATGTGTGAATGCCAGTTATTAAATTTGATAAATTCAGTTAAATAACATTAATCAAAGGAAAGAATTATTTCTATAAAAAAATAGAAAAATTTTTATATTTATTATCTCCATCTATAATAAATATTTTTTAAAATATCTTACTGCATAAGATATTTTATCTCTATTTTTTTTAAATCACAAGTGACAAAATATTTTATAAAACAGAATATATGATAAGTTATTATATATAAAGAATCGAATGCAATAAGTTCATGCTGTTTTACTCAATTAAGTATAAAATTTTAAAATAAAGCAATTTTTTAACAAGGATATAAATATAAATTAACAGTGAGTCAATATCTAGTAATTATCTCTCTTAGAGTGTTTATCTGAAATAAAATCAGTATTAAAATTTAGTTAAGCTTCCAACTTATCGCATATTCTCTCGATTGCAAATTACATCT